AAGAATTAAGTTCAGAGCTGGTCTAGCTTGGCCCTGTCCAATCAAACTTTCTCACGGTGGAGCGCTTAGCCTACTGAGCCATCTCCCCGGCCCCTGAGTTCATATCATTTTAATTGAAATAACTACATGTGGCTAGAAGTGGTCATCTTGACCGGCATAGGCCCCCATAACTACCTGTTATGAAGGCTAAAAAACAACATGGATAGTTCCCTTTTTCAAGGTCTTACTACTTGGGAACTGACTGACTTTTCAGGTAAGGCAGCATGCAAAAAACACCTTGTTCAAATCCTTGTTCTTTCACTCAGTGGCCGTGGGAGCGAGGCCATGTGACTTTGCTTTTCCGTACCTCAATCTCCTTCATCTGTAAAGTGGTCTCATAATACACCACAGGGTTTAGTAAGGATTAAGTTGGGTGACACATGAAAAAGCCCTTGGAACCAGGACTTGGAACACACTGAGGATTCGGTAGATTCATTCTTTCTTCAAATATTTATTGAAACTTCAGCCTTTGCCAAGAATGGTTTTTGGGGGTCAGGGAAAAAATCGACACAACAGTTATGGTCATTTCCAGAGTGGCGAGTTTGTCCAAGCCAGGATGTGAAGTCAGGATTCTGATGCTGTACCTAAGCTGTAGCATCTCGTGCAGCGAAGGCAGTCCAAAGGAAAGGACGTGATAGGGTCTTGACTTAGGGTTTTGTATGAGAACAGGCAGACTTCAAAGCATTGAGATGCAAGTGGGTCCTGCTAATTGTCCTGCATGACCTTCCGAATCCAGTCCACATACTTGCAGACTTTTGTGTAGACACCAGGCTTTCTGGAAACTGCACATGGGTCCTGGCCCCAGGAGATAATGCCTTGAAGAGACCCATTACAGACCAGAGGGCCCCCAGAGTCACCCTGGGCACGAAGAGAGAGAAAAGCAGTCAGAACAGAGGGGGCCACCTTGTTAAGGAAGCAGTGGGGAGAGGGATTGGTGATGGGACTGCTGATGGGGTGGGGATGAGTTTGGGGAATAAGGGCGGGGTTTGGGGAAGGTTGGCTTGGAAATGGGAGTGGGCGCAGGGCCAGGGGTTTTATCCAGGTCAGCAGTGGTAGCTGGGGATGGAGATGCAGTTAGCTACAAGGGTCTGGAGTTGGGCTGTGGGTGGGCTGTGGGTGTCAGTGAAGGTGGGATTGAGGCTGGAGAGCCGGGCCCCGCCCGCTGACCTGGCAGGAGTCCTTGCCTGTCTGCACACTGGCACACACCATGGTGTCTGTGATGTTGCCGGGGTAGGCGTGCTCACACTCCTCGTGCTTGATGACGGAGATGTTGGCACAGCGCAAGACGTGGGGCAGACGCACTGTGGAAACAGAAGAGGGTGTGGGAATGCGCCCCCAGCTTCCCTGCCCCCTCGGGGCCCGCGGTGCGGTGCGCCACCCAGCACCTGGGAGAACCTGGTTCTTTTTATTTGCAGCCTGCTCACCTGTCTGCTTGTAACAACGGCAACAATGGTGCCATTGAGTAAATTCCTTACTCCTTATCTCTAATCCGACCTGACAGGTGGGTGTGATTATGCTCTCTTTATAGAGAAGAACACTGGAGTTCACAGAGGTAAAGTAGTTGTCTACGGGCCTACAACTCTCAAGCGACAGCGTCTGTCTGCTCCAAGGCCCCAGCCCTGGCTTTCGCTCTTCCTTTCAACTGGTGCCCCTGTCGGCACCTCAGGGAGCCCCTCTTGTGTCACCTCCTCCCGCCCCTCCCAGCCCTCCGAGTTCCCCTACACTGGGGGCTGGAAGTGGTGCCCCAGCCAGAAATGCGGCAGCTGGTGCCGGCAGCGACGCAGCGTGACGGCAGCGCAAGGGGGCGCACGGCTCGCGTGATGACGGCTGCTTTGGGCAGCTTCACGAGCATGATGTCGTTGCGGTGGTCTTTGTTGGGGTGGCTGTTGTTGAAGCTTGGGTGGGGGAAGGACTCCTTGGCCGTTTGCTTCTGCTCACAGCCATCTTCCCGGTGCAAGTTATGCTCCCCCAGGAGGACCCGGTAATGGCTGCAGAGGGAGGGAGCTTGATCAGAGGTGGGAAGGGCAAGGGCAACGTGGGGCAGGCTGGGGAAAGGGGGATGATGGGAGACGCTGTCCAGAACGAAGTGACGTAGCTCCACTGCCAGCCCAGCTCCCACTGCAGCCCTTTTGCACACTGTGTCCCCACCCTGCCCAGTCCCCAGCACCACCCTAGTGCCGGCATCCTCCACCCCTCTGTCTGCTAATCCTCACACTCCTGCTACCAGCGCGCCGCCACCAGCTGCAAGCCCTCCCTGCCTGCTCCCTGTCCCCAGCCCCCTCCCAGCCCCACCCCAGCCCCCGCACCCACGGCTTGCGGCAGTGGGCTGCTGTCAGGAGCCATCTGGGGGCGATCAGGGTTGCCCCGCACAGCAGCCGCGTCTTCTGGAACAGGGCCACCTGCCAGGGCTGGGAGTGAGGAGGGCAGGGCTGACCCTTGATGATCCTGGTCTCTCCCCCTACATGCCCTGGGGAGTGGAGGAGGGAGAGGGACTCAGGTTTGAGAAAAGGTAGGCGGGGATCCCAGAAAGTGGGAAGAGTGGGCGGGGAGAGAACGTGTGTAGTAATCAGGGTCCCAGTCTAGAGCAGCTCCAAGATTGCTGTCAAATGGATCCGGCTTTAAAAGCCTGAAGTCTTGCCACATGGATGGGCAGGTAGCTGCTTCCATCCGGGTGCTTTGTGAGCTCATTCCCCCCCCCCCCAGCTTCCAGCCCCGCCTCTGAGACTGCCTGTCATGGAAGGGCTGGCACCTGCTGCAGCCAGGGGCCTCCGGTCCCTCAGGGAGCCCTAGGGATTCCTAAGAAAGGCTCCTCTGACCCCAGTTCTCCCGTACCTGTCACCAGAGCAAGCGTGATCAATCGTAGAAGCCTCATGGCCTGGAGGGGGACAGGGCAGGCCTCTGGGAACAAGGAGGGAGACAGGGGCCTAATGACTTTAAGGGGAGATCCAGGGCTGCCTTGTGAGCTTGCACTCTCTCTTACTAACCCAGGCTACCCACTTCTCCCAACCCAGCCTGCCCCCTTCCAGGAGGAATAAGCTTTGGGGACTCTCCTGCTCCTCTCAGCACACTGTGCCCCCAACTCTTGAGTGTTCAGCCTCCAGTGTGGTCTTGGAGGGGGCTTGGCCCTGGCTGAGACTCCGGTAAGCCAAGGGGCTCAGCTGGGGCCAAACCTGGCAGCGTCTGTGGGGCGTCCTAGGCGTTGTGGAGAATGTTTTCCTTCTTTCCCACTCCTGCCGCTTGGGTTTGGGAGGACGGGGGAACCAGGCCCCACTGGGTAACCCTCCCATTTTTGTTCTCCTGACAGCATTGGAGCCTGTGAGGTCTGCCTCCCACTGGTGAAGGAGGGGACTCTGCAGGAGATGTCCTGCCCTCTCCTCCCCTGCTGAACCCCTGTGTTTTGTGAAGGTAACCGGATGGGGCTGGGCGGGGCTGGCCAAGGGGAGGGCCAGTGCCCTCAGCTGCCCTGGCCAGCGGGGGTGGGTGTGAAGGCCAAGGAAGGGCTGTTCTTAGCAACTGAAGCTGGGGTCAGGGGTCATCCAGGTTGGGGGCCACAGGATTAGAAATGACAGAGGCCAAGAGAGACAGAGACACAGACAAGACAGAGAGGAACAGAGATAGAGACAGAGGGAGACACACACACACACATATAAAGAGAGACAGCTCCACACCCAAACTGAGCAGGCTGGACTGAAGGAGGCAGCGAAAGCATTATTGGGGCTGGCAGACTCTGCAAGGGGCCTTCCCTTCCCTCCCCAACTCACTCACAGGCTCTGGGGCTGGGGCTGGGGCTCTGGGCCCGGCCGGCGGTGGCAGCTGCGGCAGGCTGAGTCGGAGCGCCAGGCACCGGGCAGATGGGCAGGCAGGGGGTGGCCCCGGGCGGGCCCAGGATGACTGGCCTCCAAGCCCTGCCTTATCGCCCTGGGGGCGGGGTGTTGGGGCCCTCCTGGGGTGCTACCGGCCTGCCTGTGTCACCTCTCTGAGCCCAGTTCTCGCTGAGCCTCCATGTCCCTCTTGGGTGCATCCACCTTCCCTGGATCTCTCTGTGTCGTTCTCTGTGGTCCTCTGCTTCTGTGTGTGTGAGTGTGTGTGTGTGTATGTGTGTGTGTGTGTGTTCTTGCCCGTCCTTCCTCACAGCTCAATGCCCCCCAGATGCCTGGGCTCCTCTAGATCCCTCCTTTCTCTTTCCCAGAGACTGGGGGGAAACTGGGGCATCACGGAGGTGGAGCCACTGCCAGGTGAAGGGGCAGAACAGCAGGGCGGGGAGGCAGGTTGGGGCCTGTGGGAGCCAAGGCCCACAAGAAGCCCTGTGCAGGGCTCCGTTCCAGGCCTCCTCTGGGGTCTCACTTGTCTGCTGACCTTCCCTCTGCACCCCTCTCCCCACTGCCCAGGCCTCCAATGCTGGCTAGCAGGGACCCCCGCCAGCCGGCACTTACTGGATGCTGTGTAACCTGAGCCGGATGGCTTCCAGCTTGTGGGCCTCCTGGGTTTCCTCATCTGCGAAAACTGGCTGCAGATCCCCACTGCTCCCAGCTGCTTTGTTTTCAGCCAGATCTCTCTCCTGATCGTCTTCTCCTCTCTCCCCTAACCAGATGTGCAACAAGGCGGGGTAGGCCCAGGTCCTGACAGCAGCCAACCCTGGCCTCCAACCCTGGTTCTGCCTCTTCCTACCTCTGTGACGTGGGCTGAGGGACTCCACCCCTTTGAGGCTCAGTTTCTTCACCTGCTCCATGGGGGTGACAGCCCTGCCTTGGGTGGGGTGGGAGGTGGTATGAGGATTCCAGGAAGGAGCCAGTGCAGCGGTGCTCAGCAGCGTTCCTGTGCCTTGGGGGTTACCCCTCACTCCTTCAGAGGAGGGTGTTTTCTCCCCACTTCCGGAAGAGATGTTGGAGACAGAACCCAGTGGTGGGCAGGATCCTCTAATAACCTGACTAAAGCTGGGCATGGTGATGGACACCTGTAATTCCAGCAATCTGGGAGGCTGATGCAAGAGGATCATAAGTTTGAACCCAGCCTGGACAGCTTTGTGACTTAGCAAGACCCTGTGACACACACGCACTCACGCACGCACGCACGCACATGCGCACACAAAGAAGGCTGATAATGTAGCTCAGTACAAAGGCCAGGGGTTCAATCCCCAGTACCACCAAAACAAAGAAAGACTTAGGCTGGATTCTCTTGTTTTTTAAGACCACATCCCACCCCGGGTCACCGCAGATGGATGAGAACACACTGACATGCCCCATGAAACATGGTGTGTGTGCTCCATGCAACAGAGTTGATCTACAACCGAACAGTGCAGAAATCTTCTTGTTATGGGCCGGGGAGATGGCTCAGTGGAATAAGCACTTGCCTGGCAAGCGCAAGGGCCTGAGTTCAATCCCCAGTTCCACAAAAAAGGAAAAATCTTGTTTTATAGACTTCTCATTAAATGGTTTTGCATTCCAATTTTGCAGTTTTCATGTACTATTTTGGAGCTCATGTTTTTCTTTCTTCCCCTTGTGGTTCTTTTCAGGTCACTGAGGAGCTTATGTGCCCAGGTGCTGTTTCTGTCATGCTCAGCGGAGAAAAGTGGGCCTTGCTTTTCTTGTTGTAGTAATTTTTCCTTCTCCATTCCTGGAGGACCCCTAGAGGGAAATTCTGGCCCTATGTGAGGTTTGTTTTCATACTTCTAGGCTTGGGAGCTGGGACCCTCCCTCTGGTCTCACACAGCATGGGGACATCAAGCAGACAGATGTGGCCACTCCTTCAGATATGGCACCTTTATTCCACACAGACTTCCCACTCCAGTCGTGAGGCTCAGAGGGCTGGAAGGAGATTTCCAAGAGGCTCCCCAGACCAACGAGAGTGGGCATGTGGAGGGAGGAGGTGTTGGTGCTAAGATACAGAGCAGAGATGGCCAAAGTGGTTCAGTAGCTCCTCATGATCATCTGGATCCAGTCCACGTATTTGCACACAAAGGTGTAGACCCCCGGGATCCCTTTTTGTCCACAAGGTTCCACAGACCCCCAGGACACCAGACCTTGAAGGACTCCCCCACACACCAGTGGGCCCCCAGAGTCTCCCTGGAAGACCAAAGGAAAAGGAGAATTGCATAAACAAGGGAAAAGTCCCGTTCCTGCCCCCTCTTTGTCAAACCTAGGCCTCAAGGACAATGGCTGCAAGTCTGATCTTGGAAGTAATGATTGCAGCACAAGCTTCCTTCTCAAGAGCCAATGGCAGTGGCCAGCCAATAGAAGAGAACCTACATCCCTAGGGACCAATCCCGGCGAAGGAGGGCAGCACTCCTTCTTCTGCAAAGGGAAGCAGCTTCTGTCAGGCAAGGGCTGAAGCTCTGACCAGTGCAAGCAGAGAGCGCGATCAACTTTGACCAGTCCCAGGATTGGAGGGCCAGACTCCACAAGGGTTCCCTTGAGGACAGTGTCTGGGGATCTGGCCAACAGAGGAAGAGCACACATCACCAGTGACCAATCCCAGGGGAGGAGGGCGGGATTCCATACGGACATAGGGTTCTCTTAAGGACAGTAGTTATGGCCCTAGCCGGTAGAAGAGACCAGCTTCTTCTTTGAGGGACCCAACAGTCTACCGGCTTTTCCTGTTCCTGTCCCCAAATCTCTCACTCTTCACCTGGGATGGTATGCAAAAGACTTAGTGCCCCAGAAGCAGGGGGGCTCCTGCCTGAGCTCCAGGTCTGGGCAGCTCTTTATCCTCCTCCATCCACTGTCCTTCATCCCTGTCTCTTCCCTTCTGTTCTTTGGGCTTGCTTACCCTCCTTTCCTCCTCTGTCCCTTTTCTGTCTCCACCCTTCTGTCCTGGGTCCTTTCACCCATCCGTCTCTCCCCCAACCCTTACTCTGAGCCTCCCTTTTTTGCCCCATTTCTCTCCTCCCCCCCCCACATCCCCGTTCCCATCCCCGTCCCCGTCCCCTGTCCCTGCTCATCTTCCCTCAGCCCCCTTCCTGCTTCTGGCCTCCTCCTTCCCTTCCATCCCTCACTTCCTATCTGGGTGACAGGGCCTCAGACACACTCACCTGGCAGGCATCCTTCCCGGCAACACCACCCGCACACACCATGTTGTCTGTGATTCTCCCAGGGAATACAGCTTGACAGGCGTCGGTGGAGACAATGGAGAGGTTGAGGCACTGGAGTCGGTCTGGGAATGGATCTGGGGACAGAAGATGGGTGCTGCAGGCTCGGTCAGAGCTCCCTGCCTTGAGGCCGCACCCTTCTTCCCAAGGAAACCCCATCTAAGTCTGTCCTTGGCCCTCAGCATCCTACACTATGATCCTAAAACCCCTGACTCTCAGGTGTACCCTTCAGTTTCATAGGGACCCTTGGCCCCTGATCATTGGCCCAGTTCCCTTGACCTACTCTGGATCCTAAACCGTCATTTCCTGTGTCCCAACTCCAAAGTGTTTTCTGTTCATCATTTATTCGACCCCCAGACTCCATGAACCCAGACCTCTGGGCCCTACACCCCAGACTGTCTGACCTCCTATCTCAGATGTGTGATCAAATCCCAGCTTTTACTTCAGATTCTAACCAGTTTATACAATCTGCATTCCACGACCCAAGCTCAGGTGACCTCTAGCACCTGAACCTGTGACCTAGATCTTATTTATTTATTTATTTATTTATTTATTTATCTTTATGTATTTACTACGGGGTCTATAAGGTCTCATTACACAGATCAGACTCATAATGATCCTCCTGTTTTCAGCCTCCCAAGTGCTGGGATTATAGGCTTGTGCCACCATGCCCTGTCTTAATCGCCTCTCAGAGCACCCCGGGGGTGGGGCTGGCACTGCACTCTGGGAATTGAACCCCCGTCCCTGTGCCTGCCTAAGCAGGTGCTTTAGTCCACTGAGCTATCTGGCTGGCCCCTAGGTCCTATTTATATGTGACTTTTGCTCCAGTCTGACGGCCCTGACTTCACCCTGACCTGTACTTTGTTTTATTTTTCCCTCAACCTCTACTTTGACTCAGAACACACACCCTTACACTCCTTGCCCACTGTGGACTCTCCCCAAGCCACAGTCCTGTGGTTCCCACCCTGCACCCTGTTGCCATCTATCCTCTAGCCCTCACGGCTGGACACTTCTCCTTCAGCCCCTGCCTCTCCCTGCACCCTGATCCCTTACCCCATGGTCGGTTGGTGGTGCCCCAGCCTGACATGTGGCAGTTGGTGCCAGCGACTGCGCAGGTGCTGGGCAGGGGCAGCGGCTGGACACTGCGGGTCAGGCGGGCAGGCGTTCGCAGCCTCAGGAGCCGCAGGTCATGCTCGTGGTTCTGCAGAGCTCCCTGGTAGCCGGGGTGGGTCACGGAGAGGCCGCTGCGCCGGATCTGCTCCGTCCAGTCCAGCCTGCTGAGGCTGTGCTCCCCCAGCCGCACCCAGTACCTGCTGGGGGCAGCGGCTGAGCGGGTGGCAGGGGCCGTCCTGGGTCCCTCTGCTGCAGCTTCTCTGCGGCCCTGTGCCTTGGTGTCCACCCCCTCTCGACCACGCCCTCTCTGTGGGGCTCTCTTCCGGTGCTGGGTCTTTGTCCCTTGCCCTTTCTGTTTGATCGGCACTCTCCATGACAGGCCTCTTTTTAAGGCTCATAGACAGTGAGGCCCAGGTGGTTGGGACTTGCCTGGCACAGAGCAAGTGCAGTTGGTGCTGCTGACCGAGCAGCAAGGAGGAAATGGTCTCCCGGTCCTGCTGTGGCTCCCGTCTCCTTGCCTCCCTGCCCCTTTATGTCAGCTCTCTCTTTGCATAAACAATCCTAGAGTGTCAGACCTAGAAAGTGGCCAAGAGAATGGCAGCTATGGTTCCTGACTGTGTCCAGACTGGGCCAGGGAATGGTTGGGGCTGGTGACAGACGCCACATGGGAAAGGAAGGGCGCACAAGGAAATGCGATGCATAGGCAGCTCGCTCTCAGGGAACTCCCAGATCCTCCTCCCACCCAAGCCCACACTTGAGGAAGTTCGAGTCCTGGGCTAACCTCAGACTGCCTTGTTGCAGGCCTGGCTTCCCATACCTCCGCACCCTCACCCTGATGCTTGCCCACCACCTGCTTTGCCCCCGCCCTGCTCTTACCTGCTGCTGCAGTGGGCTGCAGTGAGCACCCACCGACGATCAATGAGGACCCCCCCACAGCGCAGGCTAGTGCCCTCGAACAGCCCCACCTGCCAGGGCTGTGAGTTAGGGTCGCACTCAATGCCACCAAAGACCTTCTCTTTGTCTGCCCAGCTGAGACCTGGCATGGGATGCAGGCCAGAGATGAGGTCAGACAGCAGGAGAGATTGTGGGGTGGAGAGAGGAGGAGGGATATGGAGATGGGGTGAGTGGGAGCCAGAGCAAGCACCAGAGAAAGAGAGAACACCAGAGTGGCCGAAAGAGAAAGGGAGAAGAGATCCCTAGGGAGAGAGTGCAGAGACACTGATGGGGGCAGAAGTACGGTGAGCCAGGGTACAGACAGGCAGTTCAGCAGCACACAGCCCCTGGGGATGAGGCAGGCAGAGAGACCCCTCTCCCATCCCTAGGACCGGGCTGAGCTCAGAGCTGGGAAGGTGGAGGCCTCCAGTGGGTGGTGCCAGGGACCCAGCCCTGGTCCTTGCCTGCCACTGTCCACAAAACTCACCAAGAGCACACAGGAATGAAAAGACACCAAGCCTCATGGCGGCCACCTCTTGGATCTGAGGGAGAGGCAGGAAATCTCAGAGATCAGCCCCCCAGCCCCACCTCTGCCCCGTGTTCCTCTCTCCCAAGGACTCATCCTCTTCTGTCTGTCCCCCGCATGCCAACGTCTGCCCCTACTCACCTTGCGTCTGCCTGCCAAGTCCTCTGTGTGTCGTGGGCTCAGCCTGTCTGCTTCAGCATTCACTCTGTCCACCTACCTACCAGCCACTGTGCCAGCCAGCCCTCCCACTGTCCACCTGGCACCTCTGCCACCTGACATAACGCCCCACCTGTCCCCTTTCCTCCTGTCTGCCTGCCCCAGCCCCTAGGCTGGCAAGGCTTTTAGCTCTTGTTGTGTCAGCCCATCTAATTTCCGGGTTGAGAGAAGGGGACAAGCATGGGGGTGGGGTTTGCTCTGGTCCCACAGGAGCTCTTTGAGCTTCACAGCTAAAGGAGCAGGGAGGATGAGCCAGGGTGGGAAGTCACAGCCACACTCCCAGTTCCCTCCTTTGTGGCCAGCTTGCATCCCTGGGATGGTGACTCAGGGTGACTGTGGAGCTGGGTCCTAATCTCCACTCCAGCAAGGGTGAGCAGAGAGGGTGGGACCACCCTGGCCAGCCAGCTGGGAACAGGGAGGAGCAGGAGGAAGCAGAGCTGCAGGAGTTAGGCGAGGTGCACCTGCACAGAGAACAGGAAGCCCCAGGAAGAGGAAGGGAGAGACTGTGACTTGGTGCAGAGGAAGGGGCAGGGAGAGTTCCCCGGTGGGGTTTCCTGGGAGCCTGATGCTGAGTTTTTACATGCACAGCTAACTCTGCTCATCCTGGAAGGCCACCTACATGCATGCACTCATGTACACACCAGTCTAAAGAGGATCCACCTAATGCCATGGACGCTTTTCTTTGCACAAGCTCTTCCATTGCCTAAATACAACCCACAGAGGGAAACAAGGGACATAGGGAAATAGAAGTGGCAATGCTGGCAAGAGGAAAACCAGGAGCGAAAAGGTGGGAGAGAGACGGAAGAGGACTCAGGAAGGCAGATGGGAGAAAGGAATTCAGACCTGGTAAAATGGGGCAACTAGGACGGGGACATCACCCCCGGCCAGTTTTCATCTTTCACTTTCTGGTTGTGCCTTCAGTCTGTCTGTGTCCCCATCTGCTTTGGCATTTTACTAAATAATTTTCAAGAATTCAACTGAGGGGGGCCTGGCCCTAGATCAGTTCTTTAAGTGGCTACTTCCACAAAGCTGTCAGGCTCAGGTGGCTGTGGTTCGATCCCCACAACTCAAGCCAGCCAAACCTGCCCTGAAGGCATTCGGAGCAAAAAAAAAAAAAAAATCCTTCTGCCTTTAAGGGCTAAGGAGATGGTTCAGCAGAATAAGCACCTGCCTGGCAAATGCAAGGGCCTGAGTTCAATCCCCAGTTCTGGAGGAAAAAAAAAAAAGTCTTAAAAAAAACGAGCTGTGGGGAACTCAGGTCAATAATTTCTGACATTGCCAGTTAAACAGAAGACCCAATGCTATGAAGGGCTACTGGACTCTTTTAGAATATTTTGCTGAGTGTACACACCTATAATATTCAAATAACGGAACTTAACAACAAAAAGGGGATACAGTTGAATGTCCATTTTGTATCTGTGTATTCAAAGTGGTTAGGATAGATATATAGTTACATTCTCTTAATGGATAGAATGATTTGTTCTAATGGTGTTTGTAAATAGGATCTCAAGTCCGCATCTTGTACAGCAATTAACCACTAAGAAGAATGTATGCAGTGTGTTAGTTATTGAAACTGTCCTAGCGATTTGATTTGAAACTGTCTCATTGCTATCTGTTTATCAATAAAATTATGAAAAAAAAAACTGAGGCAAGGGCCTCATACTGTGTGTGCCAAGGCTCTTGGATTGAACTCAGCGCTTTCACGCTGAGCTACATCCTCAGCCCTTTTAGTTTAGTTTTTTTATTTTGAGACGACTGACTCACTGAGTTGCCAAGGCTGGGCTCAAACATGAGGTCCTCCTGCCTCAGCCTCCCAGAAGGCTGAGATTCCGGACGTGTGCCACCTTCTCCAGCCGGCCATCCCCTTGGGGCAAGCTTACGGTGGGCATATGTGTACCCTAATGGGTGCAGTGGCTGCATCTCCTCAGACCGGGTGTAGGTCATCGGTATGCCTACCGCAGCGCTGCATGGGCAGCCGGATCTCACATGTGCTGCTGGTGAAGACTGACAGTGCAGTGCCGTGTCAGGCTCAGGGCGCGGTGCTCCAGAGCCTGGAGCTGAGGCCCACTGAGAACAGCCGTGTGTCGCTTCACCTTAGGGATATGGCTGCTGGAAGCATTGTGAGTTGATTTTGTCCCTGCACACACACCTCAGAGTGTGCTTAGACAAACCTTCACAAGCAGGTAGATCACTCCTAGGGGCCCGGCTGATGAAGCCTTGGGCCACATGTGCCCACACTCTGAACGTAAAGGTGAGAAGTCCTGAACCAGAAGTCCTCTGATTTTTATTTTTTCAGAACCAGGGATTGAACTCAGGCCCTTGCACTTGCCAGGCAAGCGCTTATGCTACTGAGCTATCTCTCCCGACCCTCATGGTCTGATGTTCCCTGCTGCCTCTCTCCTTCCTGCCTCTTTCCTGAGGCAGCTCACAGGCACTAGAGCTCCTGTTCCCTAAAGCGCTGGCCCTTTCCCAAGGAGCACTAAGCTACATCCCCAGACCATTTTACTTTCTTCTTTGGAGGCAAGGCTCAGTAGGTTTCCCAGGCTGCCCTTGAACCTGCAGTCCTCCTGCCTCCACCTCCTGTGTAGCTGGACTCACAGGCATGTGCCCCGTGCCCAGCAAGGATTTCATCTCAGAAGCCATGTGGGTCACATAATACTGTATTCTGTGCATTTATTATACTTTTCTCTCACCATAGGAGGCATTGTAGGAGGTGCTGGCTGCTCACACTGAAATGGGTAAGGAAAGGGAATTATGCTGTTCCACCCCTATACCTGCAGATTTCCTGTGATGGTGGGCTGGAGCTGCCCAGTGCAGTGACATCGGGCACATGATGCCCTTTAAAGAAGGCTGGCTGCAGCTGTGGTGGCCACAACCAGCACAGCATGAAACACACCAGCAGCTGTGTGCCGGGGCTACCCTAACCCACCACGTGGCACTATCTGTGCCCCTGGGGATTAGGGGTGTACCAGACCGGGATGATAAATGGAGAAGCAGCAGGGAGGTCACCCGTCTCCTGAGAAGGAGTCGAGTAGGCTTTGGCCCTCCAAGGCTGTTTTTATTCATATTGAACCATATATCAGGTCTTCCAGGGGTGGTTGGGAAGTCAGTGGCACCAGCGCCAGAGCAAGTGCAAAGATGTGGTGCAGTTTTCATGTGCTTTCATGTCAATGGGGTGGTGTGCCCACATCACCAGGGGAAGCTGGGGATATGGGCACTGCGGGGGATTTAGGTAGAACAGTGGTCCTGGTTCTGATTTTTGCCTACTGCTGTGTGTTCGTTCATTCTCTGAAGAGTGTGGGGAACATTTCATCTGGATTTAGTAGGAAATCCCAGTAGAAGCAGAACTTGAGCCTCACTGTTGCTTAAGGTTGTTATTACTCAAGATTGGACATAAAGTTAATTCGGAAATAGTCAGTAGATAGTCTTGAAAGTGTGTGTGTGTGTGTGTGTGTGTGTGTGTGTGTGTGTCTAGGGATTGAACCCAAGGCCTTTCGCCCTGAGTTACATCCTGAGCCTTTTAAAATTTCTTTTGAGACAGAGACTTAGTTGGCCAGGCAAGGTTTGAATTTGTGATCCTCCTACCTCGGTTTTCCAGAGTGCTGAGGTCACAGATGGGCACCCCTGTACCAGGCTCCACCTTGAACTTTTTGTGTGTGGTATCAGAGACTGAACCTAGGGCCTTTACCCGGAGTGGCAGCCTCAGCCATTTTTTAATTTGAGACAAATCACTACTTGGCTTGAGCTTAGCCCAATCTCGTCATCCTGTCTCAGCCTCCCAGTGTTCTGCATTCACAGGTAGGCTCACCACGACTGGTTTGTTCTATAAAGTCTTCTAGAAAAGTTTGAATTTTCAGTTAGGCTACACTGTGGACCTGTTTTATGACTCTCTCTCTCTCTCTCTCTCTCTCTGGCAGAACCAGGGATTGAACTCAGGCCCTTGCACTTGCCAGGGTGCCAGGGAAGCGCTTATTCCACTGAGCCATCTCCCTGGACCCCTGGGGCTTCCCTCCCCCCACATATCCAGTTTTTTTACTCTCTTTTTTTTTTTTTTTTTTTTTTT